AGGGAGGGAGGGAGGGAGGGAGGGAGGGAGGGAGTATGGTGAGAAGGGGGGAGAGGGGGGGGTATGTTCTTAATCTATCAGCCCCCCCCCCAACGTGAAAGCCCTCCGTTGGGGCCTCAAGGCCTTCTAGCTCTGGCAGAAGGGAGGGGAGGGGGGGGCAAGGGGTTCCAGAGGGCAATTTTACTCCCAGAAGCCGTGGGGCTCCAGTGGAGACGTTGTATACACCTGGGCACCTGTGCAGCCAGAGATCCCCAGAGAGGCCTTGCCTGCCCAGCATCTCCATTCGGCCCTTTTGCTACCTGGCGGCACCTGAGCTATATATCCCGGCAGATTCTGTGCCAGGTGCTGTGCTTCTTTGGAGGTTGCTGATCCGGTCACTCAGACCGTAGCCATCTCGCAGGTGTGTCTGTGTTGTGGCTCGGAATGGTTGAGTGGGAGTGTGTGTGTGAGTGTGTGAGTGTGAAGTCTCAGTGTTGCCTCTTTAAGCAGGGCAAAATATGCGGATGAAGATAGTTTATTTACTTTTAAATTTTGAATGCTGCCCAGCTCTCCACTGTCTCTGGCTGCCTTGCAATGCCATAAATAGCAGAATAAAACAATGGCAGGATTAGCACATTAGAGCATTCAACCATTACAAATTAAGACGTGAAATCAATATTAAAATGGATAAAAGGAACCAATGCATTTCCCGGAGGGAGGTAAGTGGCTTTTAAGGTTGCCCCTGATTATAAGCCTGCTTAAGGAAGGGGTGCAGACAGGGCACCCCCTTAAAATGCTTCATCCTGTGCAGCTCTTCAGCAAAGGAGGTCAGATGGGTGCACACCTGAATGGGAAACCATAGTTAACCCTAGCTGGACTAGCATTGGGGATGTTATACCTAGTTTGGGTGATGAGGCATCTGCTTGAAAACTACCAAACTCAGAAATCACCAAGGACCTGTCATAGTCAATCTAGTTAACCATAGTTAACCAGGACAGTGAGAACCATCAAGCACAGGAACTGAAGTTGCCTTCAGAAGTTGTGGGAGCTTCATCAGTGGTGGAGGCTCTCCTGCTTTGGAGGTGGGGGGGTGGACTAGATTACCTACAAGGTCCCTTCCAACTCTGTTAGTCTTCTCTTCTCTTCTTAGTTCTAGTCTAGTCTATTCCTTGAAGTAACTCAATAATGTGCAGACTTCTGATCTTGGGAAGTCAACATAAGAAAAAGGGATGAAATGGGAGGAGGGAGCTAAAGTGGAGCCTAGAATAACAGGGTTGGAAGGGACCTTGGAGGTCTTCTAGTCTGCCTGTATCATTCCAGGCCTTCTTGGGGCTTGATGGGATGGACAGACATGGTCACAGGATAACAAAACGGAAGGAGGGAGTGGGAAGTGACCTGGAGGTCCCCGAGTCCAACCTCCCACCCAAGAAGGACACCCTCGTATACCATTTCAGCTATCGAATCTCCTCTTAACCCCCCTTTTTAAAAACATGGAAGGCTCTGGAGTAGGAGTTTGTGGATTGGCTGACTGAAACCCCAAAGAGGAGCATCCCATTGGACGAGGGGTGGGGGGGACCACTCAGAGCTTGCGACACTTCACTCCACCGATAGCAGCTGAGCTCTGCTCCGCCCCTCTTTCCTTCTCTTTGCAGTTCTTCCCTTGCACCTTGAGAAAAGGAAGCATGGCCAGGACGACGCTCTCCTCCTCCTCCTGAATTCTCCCTTTTGAGGGGAGGGAAACCCGTGTTCTGTGCTGGAGCCTGGGCTGGGTGCAGCAAGGAAATCCCCTCATTGTTCCTAAGGAGGAACCGGGGGATGGAAAGGACGCTGGGGGCTATTCTTAGGTTCTGCCCCACAAAGCACCGGGTGGGATCACTCACGTTCTTCGTCCCTCCGAGAGGAACACCCAGTTCATCGTCATTCTCCAGAGGCAGGAAACTGACTCACTGACCAGCAGAAGCACAGAAGGCCCCGTGACTCAGGAGAAGACATTAACCAAAGAAACTGCGGGTCAATTGATGGGGTGGGAACCAAGGCAACTTTTAGATTCAGCAGATCGTATCGAAACGTCCAAGGAGACCCAGGCAGCCTGGAGAGACGGGCATCTGCTTCACTGGAGAAGGTTTTCTATGGCAGGAGCTGCCAACCTCAGTCTCCATGCCCCTCCCACCTCCTTCCTCCTCCTGGGTTTCCTAGGGCTGGAGAACGCCCAGACCTGGCTCTCCATGCCCTTCTGCTTGGTCTACGCCCTGGCTCTCTTGGGCAATGCCACCCTACTCTGGGTCATCTGGACGGAATCCAGCCTGCACCAGCCCATGCACCTCTTCCTCTCCATCCTGGCACTCACTGACATGGCCATGCCCACCTGTATCCTGCCCAAGATGCTGGGCATCTTCTGGGCCAACGCCCGAGAGGTCACCTTCGCTGCCTGCCTGGTGCAGATGTTCTTGGTGCATGCCATCTCTGCTGTGGAGTCTGGGACGCTCACCGCCATGGCCTATGACCGATACGTGGCCATCTGCGACCCACTCGGCTACGCAACCCTGCTGACCCCAAAGACGGTGGTCAAATTCGGAGCGGCCATCGTTATCCGGGCCTTTGTCGTCGTCTTACCCATCCCTTTGCTTTTGCTGCGGCTGAGATTTTGTCACTCCCGAAATATCTCTCATACTTATTGTGAGCACATGGCTCTAGTGAAACTAGCGTGCGGGAACACCACTCCCAACAACCTCTACGGGCTGGTTGCGGCCCTCCTCGTTACCGGTGGAGACCTGACCTTCATCTTCATCTCCTACGGGCTGATCCTACGGACCGTCTTCCACCTGCCTTCCTCGGAGGCTCGGCACAAAGCCCTGGGCACCTGTGGGGCCCACGTGGGAGTCATCTTCATTCTGTACACCCCCGGGCTCTTCTCCTTCCTTTCCCACCGCTTTGGCCATAACATCCCCCACAGCGTCCACATCTTCCTGGCCAACTTCTACTTGCTGGTCCCCTCCATGCTCAACCCCATGGTTTATGGCGCCAAGACCAAGGAGATCCGTGTGCGGGTGCTGATGGCTCTGGGTCTGCAAAGCAGGAGATTTTAGGTCCAAGGAGAGTCCAAGCCAACTCATAGCAGTGCTGTGTGAAATTAACAATCTTTGTGTCTTTCGATCTTTCTGTCCAATGTGGATGCAAACGCATCCTTCGTTTCCCCTAAGACATTTTGAAGGGATAGTTGTGGGTAGGATGGTCATCTAGTGTTCTATATTCACTTAATAGGTAGTGGCTTAATTAGGCCATTGTAGGAGGCTGAACCCGAGGAAGGACGGGTCAAGAGTGTCATATGTTTGGAGTCCTTTCGTGCCCACAAGAGATCCAACCCACCTAGAATTCCTTTGACTCACATCTATCACCTATTGGCTTCAACTGTTAGTAGTTCAGATTCTTGTAGAAAGTGCTACCATGCATTAAACCTGCATTCATTTCTTCTTATAAAGAAAGTTTATATAAAATGTTTTATAGATGGCATTTACCACCTGCTAGGTTAGCTAAAATGTTTAAAAATATGTCTAGCAAAGGTTGGAAATGTAATCAAAAGACAGGCACATGTTATCATATGTGGTGGACTTGTGCTAAAACAAAAGAAAATGGGCAAAAATACATAGATGGCTAGAAAAGATAATAGGGAAACGTGTAGATTTTAAACCTGGACTGTTTTTATTAGGGATGATGTCAGAAAAATGTGATAAGAAAAGAATGTATTTAGTATTACATGTTTTAACAGCAGCGAAGAGATAATTAAGAAGATATTAGACTGTGCAGAAATGGACAGACTGACAATGAAAATCAAACAGAAAGAAGACACAGAATATTATCAAACTTGCAACTTATTTTACCAGTGGTTGGAAAAAAGGGGTGAAGAGTAAGAAGGAAATGTGTATTGTTAAGCAAATTAAATATCCAGACAACACAATGTTTATTAAGCACTAAGGAATGTAATTAATAGAAAATTAATAAAATTTATTTATTTTTAAAACTTGTATTCATTTGAACTGCCTGGTCTCCTAATTTCTTGCCCTTGACATTCACGGATTCATCCCTGGAGCTTCTGGTCCTCATACAAATACTTTTACCAGATAGCAAAATAGCTAATTCACTTCCTGTTCTGTCAGCAGCACCTCTTGAGGTCCAGAAATGCCTTGAAGGTTCACCATATTAACCATTTCCATGTGAAACCAACTGTTGTGATTCACAGCCTGCTTGGATGTTCTCCTTGACTTCCCTCAAGAGGTCTCCTTGCTGACAGCCCCTTCCTCCTTCCCTGGCAGCCGAATCAGAAAACAAGGCATCGCCATTTCTCCTCTAGGCTGGGAAGACCCTCCCTCTGGTTCTTCCCAATCTCCCCTCTCGGGACCTGGCCTCCATCCCCTCTCGTGTTGAGCCAACTCAGCCTGTCCTGCCACTCTGGAGCAGAAGGGGGCTGGGCTACCCCTTCCCGTTTTATGTATTTACTGTGTGGCCCCTGCCATGCTCAACCTCATGCTCTATGGTGCCAACGCCCAAGAGAGCCACTTGCGGGATGACGTGGATGGCTATGGGCTTGAGAAACATCAAATTGGATGCCAAGGCAGAGTTGACAGGGTAGGACAGTTAATTAGTGGAAGAGGTTGCCTACAGAGGTTGTGGGTGCTCCATCTCTGGAGGGTTTGAAGAAGAGGCTGGACAACTCATCCCAGATCACACAACCAGCAGTGGTGGGATTCAAAGTTTTTTATTACCAGTTCTGGGGTGGGCATGGCTTGGTGAGTGTGGTGTGGCTTGGTGGGTGTGGCTGCTTGGTGGGCAGGGGAAGGATACCTCAAAATCCCCATATCCTCCCGATCAGCTGAGACTCAGGAGGCAGAGAATAGATGGGGGCGGGGCCAGCCAGAGGTGGTATTTGCCAGTTCTCCCAACTACTCAAAGTTTCAGCTGCTGGTTCTCTGTGAAGTAACCATCCTCTGCCACCAAATGTGATGTTCCTGTGGTTCGCCCATGAGGCCAATGTGGAGAAAAGACAGGACACGACCTTTCTCGGGATGGAGCGACGACCCA